GTTTAGATGGATGAGGAAGAGATTCGAGACGCGAAGGACGCGAGCAGAAAGCGCTTGATCAATGACAACAAATATAAACATTGATCATGTGCGCATCAGACAACCACGACCGCTCGCGAGTCGTTCAATTGCGTCCTTGCCCTCGCTCATCCTCGCGCACGGCCACCGCATTGAGGAGATCGAGGAGGTGCTCACCATCATTGCCAGCACCGCCGAGTCCTTCACCAAGACAAAAGAGGCTGTCGCCCTCCGGGTCCTCAAGTCGCTCAACTCGCGCAAGCTGCCGCGGGCAACTTAAGATGCGCCTATACGTGACTCTGCCGCATTCCTTTCTCTCGAGACCTCAAGTACAGAACGAGCGGCGGCTTCTTTCAACGTCGTTAGGTCCATTTTGAAGTAATCAAGGAAATATAAATATGATGGGGTTGCGCCTGCGAGCCGCTGCAGTCTGACTTACACATCTTTCTTCCTGCCTTCCTTCCGCACTGACTGAATTTTATATCTCTGCGTACTCAACTTAGTGTTACTTTTACTTCATCAGCGACCGCAATTATTTATTATTTTTGAGGATTAACCATAAGACGCCTTTCCCCCTGAGTGGCGTCTGGACAAAACCTACTGAGCGGTAAGATTGCGTACACTCTTCCAGAACCTTTGTGCATGAGTGAGCCGCCGAGTAACACAATAACACACACAACTTACTCGCATCTCTCCAAGAATGCACTGTTCGTGTGAATTGGCGCAATGTGGGGTTTACCGCTCTCGGTTTTGTTAAACAATATCTCCGTCTCCGCGCTCGACCATTTCGGCCACACGGGCGTGATACTGGGAAGCAATTTCTCGTTGGGGTCAAGATTCACCGCGAGCGAAAGGAAGCCAAGTGTGAAGGCATTCATGAAAGCGGTGTTGTTGTAGATGAGTGTCACGTTAAAATCAGTGAAAGACGGGAAATAATTAATCAAGTCCTGGCCATGCAAGGCGGGAGGGATCGCGTATTCTCCCTGTGGAAGCAAATCAGTACTCAAGGTCAAAGATTTCGGGGAGCAAACCTTGTAAGATGCAGCAGGGAAGGCTTCGAGCAGGGAGTATGTAGGGCACTTGAATATGGCTGTAAGGAGGTGAGTATTTTGGATATTATCAATGGGCGGAAGAGCTCACAGTCTCCCATGATTTGAGTGACCTGGTTCACGGGAGACCCCAACGACGAATAAACCGCGGCCGCCGCATTGCTCTCTTCAGCTCCGAAGAGCGGGAAGAGGTTGCGCACGTAATTTGCGACATCATACTCTGCGGTTTGGTTGACGAAGATGACTCCTTCATTAGTGTTGGTTATGGAAAGCAAGATGTCCTGGGTAGTCCGATTCGGGTTAGAAATTTGTTCGCTCGGGAAGTTGAAAATGTACCCCGTTCACTTTGCCTTGAGAAAGGCTTTCCGTTGGACTCTGCGTGATGAACGAGCCGTCGATGACCGGCACGAATGTGAAGGTGCCTTGGAAGCCGGCAAGGATCACATTTAGATTAATGTCCGCCAATGTCGTGCTGTCTGCGGCGCGGAGACAATCTAGGGGTTTTGTGCTGTTGCAACTGGAATAATGCATCAATTGAAAAGAAATTCCAAAGACAAGAAAGATCGTGTACCTGGCTTGGGCGACCACATCATCGAACACGGCCTAAACGGTCAGCCCAAGTAAAGGAACATTCAAGTGCACCTACTTGAGGGATCCTGTCGTTATGTTGATACTGGGAAGGCAAGAAGGTCGAACTAGTCATGGCAGCCCGGAAGAGTTTGGGGCTCGTTTTTCCATTCCGAGCAACTACATGTTGAATAACGGAGCCGGCGCCTGGTGTTTTTGGAAAAGTAAGTACAATTTTCAAAAAATACAAAATGCGTACCTGCACTCTCGCCCCAGATGGTCACTTTGTTTGGGTCACCGCTTCCCCTTTTCAGATTGATTTCACGATGGTAGGCCTCAGCTCACCCAAATTTATGAATCTGAACAAATAGACATAAGTAAATTGTTCGACAACTTGGCAGGTACAACAAACATTCTTGTTAACCCAACGCAAGGCGAAATCTTGATCCACTTTCAGACAGATGAGTGAAAATCGGAAGACCAAACAGCCCAGCACCTACGCAAGCCTGCATTGTTTACACCGCCGTCTTTTATTTCTTGGCCGGCAAGGAAACCTTGAAAAGAATCAATGAGTCTTTCTCGATTATAAGGAGTGTGCCTTATACCGAACAACCCAAGTCTGTATTGAATCACGACGACGACAATCTCGTTGTTCGATTCCTGGACAAGCTCGGCTCCGTTGTACTCGCTTGCAGAGCCCATGACATATCTGCAGGCGTGCCGCTTGTGATCAATTGCGACCCAGGAGACAAGAAATTTATTACCCGCCACCGTGAATCCAAACAATTGTTGGCAGAGGCACTGTGGAATTCAAGGCAGGAGAATAGACGCTGGAGGTGATGTCAGGAACGCTGAGATGGAGAGTCGATATGAGACGAACTTGAGGAATAAACAATCCTCTGTCTGCTCGACATCTCGGGCAGTGAATGGGTTAGTAGGTGACGCGCCGAAGGTTCCTTGGTAGCACTGCGGGGGATCGTTGAACGCCTGCTGGATCCCAACGACCTGGGATGGCGGGGCCGGTGCTTGGAATCGCAATGGTCCTTCCAAAGAGCTTCAATTTCGAACTATGATCCTAGCTCCCATGCTTACCAGTTGGCGAAGCAGCGTAACGGATACCCAGGAAGGCAGTAATGTTGAGCTTAGGGTCGACAACTCCCTGATACCGAGCGTAGCCCAGATCGACAACGGGAGCAGTTGCAGCGTTTGCGGAGTGAAGGGTGAGGATTGAAATGAGAGCCGCTTGCAACAGAGAGGTGAGAGCCATTTCTTAATACACAGCGAATGCCCTTGTGTCCAGAGAGGAAGATGTATATATAAGTAGAGTGCGGGCGATCCGTTTGATGACGCGTCGAGGATCTCGGCGGACAATTCAAAGTGATGACCAAGTATCGTTGAATGACTGATACTTAGTGAGACTCGCTTATTGGTGCCCCATGGATTTTGGCCTTGCCTGCAGCTGGCGCCGCGCGTTCCGAGACAGCGACAGGAGGTGCAGAACAGAAAAGCAAGTCAATCAGATGGCATCACTGGACCACATATTCTGCTCCTGGTCCTCCGTTCTGACATTCAACTGTGATTGCTCCTTTTGTGCCCCATTTACACGGTGATCCGCGATTCCGTTCAACCGTTGGATTATTCAGACCGTCCGGCAAAACGGCGCCTTCACATTTCGGTCAGCGTAAAACACTTTCCCATTCACCAAACTCATTTTGGTACTCTGCGTGCATGACCGTCTCCGCGTTTTGCTCTCCATGCAGTTATCCGCCATCCTTTGTATCGGAGTAAGTGCCTCGGGCATCGACGTCGCGAGTCGCGAGCTCGGGCGCAGCTCGGTCACGTTGAGACGTCGACAGGTTTGGTCGATTTGAGGATTCACTGAATGCCAGCCGAATGTAGGTTTCAGAATTGACTTGGTACATAGCATCGAGAAATTCATTTGACAAGGTATTAGGTTGTCTTCGGCACGTTCGCACGAAGAAAGGCCTTCCAATCTTTCAACTCGGGATACTGCTCTCGCAACACGGGTATGTCGGCATCGAACCCGATTTCGTTGAAGAACTGCATGAAGGAGGTTTAAAAAATGATGCACACGATTCGAACAACTTACCTTGAACATCAGCCTCAGCTCCTTCTTCCCCGCCCGAATTGCCCAAGCTATCGCAGTGCCGCCGATCATATTAGGACGCAGTTCATTCCCAAACACCTCGCGCCAGCCGTCTTCGAGCTCCTTAGGACTCAGCTTGTCGCCGGCCACATCCACGTGCTTCCCGATGTATCGTTCGGGGTTTCCAAGCACCAAAGCAGCGACTCCACCGATGTCGCTGCAGGCGACGAGCTGTAGGCGCGTTGTAGGCTTCAGTTGGGTCAGTAGGATGATCTTCGTCAACCGAGCCAGCGCAGAATTGGGATCGTCGGCCACGAACTCGTCCATGAACGTCACTGGTCGCAGGATAGTCGTCGGCAGTTTCGGATGCTTCGCTTTCAAATACTCCTCCGCACGACGCTTCGATTCGAAACTGCGGAGAGATAAGGTGGGGTTCACAGTAACATGAGGGACTAACTGCGGGACATATGTCTTGTTCTCTGGAACTCCACCAAAATTCACGCTTGCGTAGATGAAATGCTTCACGTCGTGCTGGGCGGCGGCATCCGCAAGGGCGTTTGCTTCGACGGTTTCACCTGCGACACCCTTTGGATTGTCGTAGCTCTGCTGAACGGAAAATACCGCGTATACTGGGCCAGGCGCAGAGGTAAAAAGCGCCAAAGGATCGGTCGGAGTCCCTTTGTGCAGGCGGACACCTCGGAGCGATTCCAGCGTTTTGCTTTTGGCAGACGTCGGGTTCCGAGTTTGTGCGAGGATCAGCCACGGGTCAGAAGCAGACTCGTTCACTTTGGCTAGGGCTATGGCGATGGATAAGCCCTGTACTCTGTGAATCAACGAAATCTCACCTCGTACCACTGCTCCGCCCTGCCTCCCCGTTGAAAGCATTACGAGTACCACCTTGGGCGCTGCCATGGTTGAAGACGATCTCCACCGTTCTTAAATATTGAAGATTTCCGCCATCGACGGGAGACCAGACGGAAAAGCGGAAGAGAGCAGGTTTCCCGAAGAAGTCGGCTTTTGATGACTGATCATCTGATGGTTGAACCATGCACGTGAGGTATGTTCGAAAAAACCAAGTTCTAATTTCCCTCAATCTAAAAGCTGCTTTCATGAGGTCCGCTAGTGTCAACACCCACGAACAGAATGGTGAAGCGGTTATCATGCAATGTTTGTGTATGTTTGTAACACAATTAAAACTTTGATCTGGCCCTCCTCCCGGCCCAGGCATCCTATCCTCTCGCTTCTTCCACCTCAGTATGACACTGATGGTGAAGCGGTTATCATGCTTGCCTTCCAAACGACACGTGATTCCCGCATTACGTTAAATGGAGTAGCAAGCGGCAGGGGTTCGACTCCCCTTCAGTGTATCTTAAGATAAGATATATATCATTTTTTATGTTTTCGAGGTAGCCAATAAAGACCGTGGTGGTTCAACTACTCTCAGCCCCCTTCGAAAATTCAATGTATCTTCTAGTAATTTTAATTTTGCGACGTAGGCTGTCACATAGCCAATCAAGTCCACATTGTGTAGCCCTTTTTTCCTACCCTTTTTCCCTTCACTTGTCGATCGGAGATCACTAAAATTACTTGTGGTGGGGAGTCCACTGTCCGGCTCCTGGGTCACCGGTTGGTCCCAGAATACCACTGCCTCTGTCTGCACTCGTTCGGGCTGATTCTTGAAGAGTGATGAATTCGGCTTAGCACAGTGTTCTATCGAAGTTCAATTTTTTTTACGCGGCTCAGGGAGATTCCGCCTCCTCTTCTTTTGATTCGTCATTCCATCCAAAACACAAGAACCCCAAGACAGCCTCTGTTGAGCACGGGACATCAACCGTGAGATCGGAATGTTGCCAGTGCTCGGCGTGAGTTCGATTCCCACAAGAAGGTTTATCTTAGGTCTTTTTTTTGGCTACTCAGTTTGTAATGTATTCAACTCGGAGCTTGACTCGGAGGACGCTGTGGAATGGGTAACTTCGGAAACAAGGATCAACCAAAAATAAGTATCGCATATGGTCCTGCCTCGCCGACACCTAAGGCGACTCCCGGAGTCCCAGTGTAACCAGTTTCAACCCTTATTAAAAATCCACAGCAACTCTAATAAAGCTTTCGTTGGTCACCGAGCGTCGACTATACGGAAAAATTGACATGTTGGCAGTGCTCGGTGTGGGTTCGATCCCCGAAGAAGGCTTGAGCCCGATATGTGCTTTGTTTTTTTTGGGCCCTCAGTCCGCATTTATTCGACCACAGTGCCCGACTCGGGAGACTCGGACGCTGTGGAACGGGTAACCTCATCGGAAACAATATCAACTAAAGGTCTAAAACATCCAAACCACGCAAGAGAGGTCTGTGGCACTGAGCACCAACCTAACCAAGCAAGGTACCGCTGCGGGGTGGTAGGGGTTCAACTCCCCTTCAGTGTATAAGCTTGTTGTCGTTCCTTTTTCGGGGTTGCAAGAAGTACACATACCCTCTCTGTGTTTCCCTACCCCTGACAAGTTTCCTTCATTTGCCCTCTTCTCTGCCCTCGATTTGTAAATCCACTCCTTCGGAGAGCTATTGCGTATTATAATAAAGCGCCATGATACATTCGTTGTCCATCCACCCCCCATCTAAATCACCCCTCTCCCTCGCATCTTTCCTCCGAGCCGTACGCGTGCAGTGGGACGTGCGCGTGTAATCCACCCCGCACTGCACCGCCGCCGCGTGTGAGTATACCAACTAACCACCTAACCACCACCGCCGCATAAGCATACTCCCCACCCCCATACGACTACTAACCGTCGCATAAGTATAACTACCGCCGTCACCGCAACCCCACAGGCCACTCGCTCCGCCTCCTCCACCGCCCCGACGCGTCGAAGCGCGGGTTCGGGACGTAGTGCAGGCCGTCGCCGAGCGGGGCGCCGATGGGGACTGGGGGGGAAGGTGGGGTTAGTTAGTTGGGGAAGCGGAGTGAGGGTATGGAGGGGAGGGAAGGGTAGGGAGAGAGGAGGAGGGAAGAGAAGGTGGAAGAAGAGGGGGAGGTACGCGAGCGCGATACGGCGCAGCGAATGAATAAGAGGCAGGAATACGAGGATACGACGCGGCGACACCGTCCTGCTAGTCGCCGCTACGATCGAGGACACCTTCCCTCCGACACCGCGCCCTCCTCGCCCCGCATGCCGCCCTATCGTCGAACGGGCCCCACGCCACGGACAAAGACACACCCGTCCTGCTAGCCGCCGCTACGATCGAGGAGACCTTCACCGCCGTCCTCGCCCCGCATGCCAGCGTTCGTCGAACACGCCCCGTCCCGCTCGTTTTACCTCACACCGTCCTCCGCCCCGACACGAGCCAACGCACGACTTGCACTGGACGCACCGCACCGCAGGCACCCCAGCAGGAGGCGCAGGACCTAAAGCCCACTCCACTCCGAGCGCTGATCTCCAAACTCCCCACTCGACGCGCCCACGCCCACGCCCCCCCCCAAAACCAAATCCCAAAAAAAAAACCCCGAAAAAAACCCCCCCAAAAAAAACGAAAAACAACTCACAAACCCACCCCACCACCCTCCCCCCCATCACGTCCCGCCACGCCGCGCCCGCGCTCCCCGCCCACCACACGTTGCCCTCCGTCGTGGGGGATCCCCACTCGGCGTCGGTGGTGCGGCGGAGGCGGCGTTTCGTGCTGTTGGGAAGGGTTAGCTTTATGTATAAGGGAGGGGAGGGGAGGCGAGGTGAAGGAAGGGAAGCGAGGGGGGGTGGGTTAGTATGGAAGGATGAGTAGGGGGGGTGCGGATGAGAGGGAGCAGAGGGAGGGCAGGGAGGGCGGGGACAGGTGGCGAAGGAAGGTGGGAGGGAAGGATGGGGAGGAGGGCGTGCCGAGAAGAAAAGCGACGACAAAGCAGGAACGTAGGGAGGATAGGGTGGGAGGGGAGGGAAGGGAAGGTGGGAAGGGGAGGGAAGGGAAGGTGGGAAGGGGAGGTGGGAAGGGGAGGGAAGGGAAGGTGGGAAGGGGAGGCGGGAGGGGAGGCGGAGGGCGGTGGGAGGGGAAGGAGGGAGGCGAGGCGAGGCGAGGCGAGGGCAGGGAGGGCAGGGAGGGCAAGGAGGCGGAGGCGTGCCGACGCTAAGACGATAAAGCAAGACCCACCCAACATCCAAACACCCCACCCCCTCCGCCGCGAGCGCCGCGTCCTCGCGCTCGCGGAGGCGGCGCGCGGCGAGGGATTCGACCTGGTGTTCATACGAGATAATGCGAGGGGGGGAGGGGGGAGGGTGGGGGGAGGGGAGGGGAAGGGGGGGAGGCGTGGTGGGGAAGGGGGGGAGGCGTGGTGGGGAAGGGGGGGAGGCGTGGTGGGGGGAGGGACGGCGGGTTGGTGCAGTGAGATAAGATGGAGGAGGCAAATGGGAACAGGATGCAGGGGGAAGGGGAAGGGTGGGTGGGGCGGTGGGAGGGGAGGGGATAAGGGGTGGGGAGGGGAGGGAAGGGGGGAGGGAGGGAGGTGGGGAGGGGGGAAGGAAGCGGGAGGGCGTAGAGGGCGTTGGCGTTGGCGGTGGGCGTTGGTGTTGGCGTTGGGGGAGGTTTTGTGCGTTAGCGTATGCGTATGACATTGGTCAAGGGATGGCGCGTTGGATCATGCGGCATAAGACAAGAGATGGGGAAGGCAAGGGAATGGAGGGGGAGAAGAGGGAAGGCAAGCGGAAGCAGTGGGCGTAGGCGTTGGCGGTCGGCGTTAGCGAAGGACGTATGGCGTAGGCGAAGGGACGGCGGGTTGGTACATGTAAAATGAGAGACGCAGAAATGAAGTGAATGGGAGAGGGGAGAAAGGGGAGGGGAGGGGAAAGGGAGGGATCGGAAGAGCGGAGCGAGTGAGGGAGACGCAGGTGGGGAGGGAGGGATTGGAGGGGATCGGAAGGATCGAGGGACAGTAAGGGGAGGAACGAGCGATTCGAGGCGTGATGTTGTTGTCATTGTCGTTGTCGTCGTCCGAGGAAGGTGCAGCGCCGAGCGTCCGTCCGTCCGTCCGTAGCCAGCCGGCCAGACATGTCGTGTCGTGTCGAATACATTCGGTCCATTCAATTCGAAAAGAAATGCGACGCAGCCAGGGAAAACAATTCGAAATGACGCAGCACACAGAAAATGAGGGAAAAGAACCAAGATAGTCAGCCTCCACCTTTGCACACAAAAGCAGGCAAGCGAAACGGGCACGCACCGTCGTCTGCGAGGAGAGGACCATCCGCGTATGGTCCGCGCCGAGGGGGAGCGTGAAGAGGAGGAAGAGGGCGGCGCTGGGGGCTCATTTATCAGCGTTCGTCTTTCCCGCGAATCAAGAAGGAATACGAAGAAAAACAAGGAGGAAGAGAGGTATACGAACAAGAAGGCAAGAAGGAGAACGACGACTCACAGCGCAATCAACACCACCTCCTGCGCGTCTACCCCTCCCTCTCTTCCCCTTCCACCAGTGTTGAACACAAGGAGGGAGACGAGGGTGTATAATGTGAAAAAGACAGTGGCGAGAAGGAAGTTGATGAAAAATTTGTGATTGCGCGCGCCGACGCATTGGCCGATCCAGGGGCAGTGGTGGTCGTATTTGAGGATGCACTGCGTCAAAAAAAAGAGGTCAGCGTGCCGTATCCTAATTATGAGAATGAAGAGCGAGCTCACAGTCCCACACACGCGACAATGGTGCGCGCGGTGCGGCTTCACGATCTCGCACCGCGCGCAGTAGCGGTTGGGGGGGAGGAGCGGGGCGGTGGTGCGTGCGCGGGCGGGGAGGCGGGCGCCGTTGCCGCTTATGTTCGCATTGCCGTTGGTGTTAGTAGTTGTGTTGGTGTTCGGAATTGCGCCGTTCCCGTCAGTAGCTTCGTCCCTGGGTTGGCCTTGGTCGGCCGTGCGCCCCCGCCGTCCCCGCGCGGAAGACTTCCTCCGCGCGGCAGGGGGCGGCGTCGGCATCGGCACCTCCGCATTGCCGATAGCGTACACCGGCCCCCCGATCCGCCCGCGCTCGATGTCCGCGAGGCGCATCGGTGCGGGTGGGGGCTGGAAGTCAAACGAGGATGCAGAGTCGACGTCCGCGTGCCGATCGAGCTCCCGCTGGCGGTCGTATTCGTCCCACTCTGCCTGCGTGCGCGTGGGTGGCTGGAAGAGCGGTTGTGGGGATTTGGGGATGTACTACAATGGATGAGAATCCAGCAGGTAGAAGTGAGGGGGACGCACGTCGCTCGCAGTCCCCGGCGGGGTCAACACTACCTGCAACCCATTGAAACCAAGAAAGACTCGGAGGAAAGAGGCGCACCTTGAAATACGCCCACACCATCCACGCATACACCACCGCCCACCCACACAGCAGCCCCACCCCCTCCTCCCCTCCGCCGCCGTCACGCATAAG